AAGGGAGATTATCTTATGTAATATTTTCTGAAGTGTATTTTAATTTGTGGCAAATTTGCACAAATGTTTCTTGTCAAATCATCTATTTTAAAAACCTACTAATGGTATTTAAAACATCCATTCATTTTGATATTATCATTTTTCATCTCTCAATTTCTTTTTCTCTGACTTAAGATCTACCATCTGAGTGTGCTTTCATTAGTTTACTCAATCCAGAAAGGACACTTATAAATTGCTTGTTTCACAAGTTGTCTTTTTTTAAAAAAGAGGTGTATCCTTGTGATCACATGCTGGCCACGCTGTAACCACAGATCTGCTTTATCTTCTTAAAGGTACGTAGAGAATACAGGAAGTTCTTCAGAGCTAATGCTGGAAAGAAAATCTATGAGTTTACGCTTCAGAGAATTGTAAGTTGACACTTTATATGTATGGCTAATTAACCTTATTGGATTAAGAACTTGCTAATACCAACTCAGTAAACTCAGTAAATTGTGAATTTTTTTAAGTGTCTTTTTTGGTAACGATTTTAAATCATAACTGAACAGAGTTAATAATCTTTTGTATCATTCTCCACGTCCCAAATTCAGGAGAATTGTGTCAGAAAGATGGTAGGTGCCCAGACCTGATTCATAAAATTGTCATCTTCTTTGACAGAAAAAACTTGGAGGAAAGTGATTCATCAGGAAAGTCAGACTCTTTCTCTGTTAAACCTCAAGAGCTGCAGCAGGGCAAACAAGTTAGGGGTAAAGGAAAGCAAGACTGGGTGAGGCTGGATCCTGCCCTTTGCTTCTAGAGAAGTGAATGCAGTGGGGAAAAGAGTGCAAACACTGGGACGGGCCTGCATTGCTGCTTAAGATTTGTTACTTTAGCAAGTTATTTAGTTTCTGCAAACCTTGTTTGGTCATCTGTAAAATGGGTGTAATAATAGCACTAACCTCCAAGCTGTTATGAGGATTGAAATGGGATAATGCTATGAAACTCTTACAGTGCCTGGCACGTTATATACAGATGCTCCTCCACTTAATGATGGAGGACTCCCATTAATTCATCATATATTGAAAATATGATATAGATAATACACTGAGTACGCCAAACCTACCAAACATAGCCTAGCAGCACACCCCACGGCAGGGTTTTAGTTGTGCACCCTCCTGATTGCATGACTGACTGGATGCCGTCCGTGCTCACTACTGTTGCCTAGCATCTCGAGAGCCTTGAGCCACATGTGACTAGTCCAGAAAAAGACCAGAATTCAAAGAACAGTTGCTACTGAATCTACATTGCTTTTGCATCATTGTAAAGTTAAAAAAAAAAAAAACAAAAACACAAGCTGAACCTTTGCTAGGTTGGGGACCATGTGTTCTCTATAGTAGTGCTGTCCACCAGGACTTTCTGCAGTGATAAACATGTTCTATAACTTTGAGATACATAAAGTATCTGCTTGCCACATGATGTTATGGAGCATTTGAAATGTGGTAGTGTGACTAGGAACCCAATTTTTTATCTTATTTTATTTGAATTTCCAAAAATTTTAATACAAATAGCCACACATACCTAGTGGCTACTTATTTGACAGTATAGCTCCATAGTGTTGTCTGATGTTAACAGTAGTGTTCGTGTGACTGTTTGAGTTGGTTTTCTTTTCTATTAACCATTTGGTAGAGCTCAGATTTCTCTACTTGATATGAAAGAATGGACTAGAGACTTCCCAGAGGAGTTACAAAGTTCTATGAGCTAAAACTTGATAAATTCTACAGAAGACGGAGGTTCATTTGATCATAGAACATGTAAAACAATGTCTTTTCTGATATATTTTCCTCATCTGGTATCATCCTCTCAAACCCAACACAGGTGCAAAAATACTTCTTGGAAATGAAAAATAAGATGCCTTCCTTATCACCAATAGACAAGAATTGGCCATCCAGACCTTATCTATTCTTGGATTCCACTCACAAGGAACTAAAAAGAATTTTCCACTTGTGGAGGGTAAAAAATGTCATGATTGCATTTCTTCCGAGACTTATTATATATTTTGAGTGTTTGACAGCTGTTATGTAAAATCAAATTTTTTTAATGTTTATTTTTTAGTTTTTGGTGGACATAATATCTTTATTTTATATTTATATGGTGCTGAGGATCGAACCCAGTGCCTCATGCATACTAACTAGATGAGCACTCTACCACTGAGCCACAACCCTAGCCCCTAAAATCAAATTTTTAACACATTCTTCCTTTGCCTCAGAGGGACTTATTTGAGGACTTTGGTATCCTTGAGCTTGGCATTCACTGTACTTGACTTTCTGGGGGCTCCCTCAGCAGCCCAGGCTAAGCCTGTGAGGTCTCCTCTCGGCCATGATTAGAGGAGCAAAAGGTTGTACCAACTTTTTGTTCCAGGTTCCAGTTGCTTTCAAGTTGTCCAGTTTGTGTTTTTCTCTTTCTGTGAAAAGATATTACAGGAAATAGAAACTGTGAAATTTTAACGTCTTCAAACAAGATAATTAAATCCTACAGTTGTATGAGTTTATAAGATCTGTTGAATACATACGATCCACTTATGAACACAACACTTGGATTGACTGGAAAAAGGCATTGAAGTCCCTAAAAGACAAGATGTCCTCTACCTAAAATAAAGAGAAGCTGAAAATCTATTTTATATTGCCTTATATCTTAGTACTCTAATTTCATAGGAAAGCACAGCGTGCAATTTAGGTGTTGGGGTGCATGGAGTACTTGTTATAGATGTTGACTTTATTTCAGAAACTTGGTTTAACCAGGTATGTGGAATGCTAAATATATGCAATTATCAGATGTAATAAAATCATTAGGTGGAAGAGTTTATATTTAGTCAAGGAATCATGGGTGGATATATTTTCCAGGCAGCGCTTTCCTGCCTAGCAGTGTAGGCCTTGTCCTTTATGTAAAAGAATCACATGTGTATAGAGTGACATTATTGCTAATTAGCCTGACAGGTGGGACTTGCTCAACATATGGAGCTGAATTATGAGTTCTGTTCTGTAACAGAGATTCAACAACTTCTCAGTTGTTCATCTCCCCGATTGAGTGTGACATAGAAATTATTTTCAGAAAGAACAACAGGGAGCTACTAATGCAGGGGTCTGCCCTTCCCTCCCAGCCCCATTCTGACCTACCTGGGACAGGAGGTGGGGGTTGAGAAGCCTGTCTCCTCCTGAAGGGAGCCTTTCTGTGGGAAGAATTGGAAGCAATGCTAATGTTTTTGCAGGAAGTTATTTCAGCGGTGGTATTCAACCCCTCACCTCCAACTGAATGTCTTGGAACATTCATCCTAAAAGTTTGTCCCTGCTTCTCTGGCCATCCCAGTCTCCTTTCATTGTGTCCCCAGGATCAGGATGAAGGGGGACTTCTCAAGTGTCTATGCACGTTGTAAAGTGGAAGTAGGAGGATTTGTTCTGGTGTTTTTCAAACTATACATCATAGCATATTTGTGGATCTTGAAATCAATTTAATAGCTTACTACCAGGGTTTTTAAATAATATAAGTAGAGAATAGAAAATAGCAGAGTACACAACATGCAGAATTAAGTATTGTTTTGCGAAGCTCTTTGGTCATCCTCTGCGTGTGTAAATGTGTGCACTGGGTTGTGAGGTCCAGATTTTTTTGCTTCGTGTCTCTGTCAAAGAACTGAGCCTCAGGACTGGGATCCTTAGGGACTGACATCACAGCAGGATGAGTCTGCCCCTCACAGGGCACATGCTAGTTGGGCCCTGGTGGGTTTTGAAGAAGCATTCCACATTCCACAAGAAAAATAATAGCCTTTGTACTTTTCCAAAACCAACTTCTTAAAAATCAGGAAGGAAAAATGTTTTGGCCTCTTAAAATGAATGTTTTTTTCACTTTCACTTTTATTCTTATTGCTATTAAATTAACTTAGCATATTTAAGAACAAGTAAAAGTTCATTTATATAAGTGATGTTTTCTTTTTTGTTGTTTTTCTCCTCGTATCTCACAGTGTAAAAAATACAGGGACCAATTCACAGACCAGCAGAAACTTATTTATGAAGAGAAACTAGAAGCCAGTGAGCTCTTCAAGGATAAGAAGGCTTTATACCCATCTAGGTATTCTGGTTTTGCTTTATCCATAAAAATCAATATTTTAAAACTTGTTCTCCAATACATATGAAGGTCTTTCCTAGGGAAGTTTTGATTTCAGTACTAGATGAACAATTATTAATTTTGTGTATAATTTTCTAATCAGCTGGATGTGAGTGCACATAAACACACTTAAGTGATAATTTCCACAGTATTCTTTGATGAAATGAGATTACAGATGGTTTTACTCTTGTTGACATTAGCCTGCATACTTTACTGAATAATTGGAATTCATATAAAATAAAAATATATAGGCTATTAAGATAAACTTGCATTTAAATTCCTATTTTCAGATTTCTCTTTGCAATATGTTGTATATACCATCCCAATTTTCCTGCCCTAACAATCCAGGTCAGAAGTCCATTCATAAGATCAACAAAAGTGAAACAGTGTGTTAGTCTCTGGGTGTTGCATAAGCATGGGTTTGTGGTGTCCTTCGGTCAGCTAACTCATCGGTCATGACTTCAGTAGCCTGTGCAGCAAGTTCAGCTGCTTTATTATCAACACCACATACTCAGAAAAAGAAGGAACACAATTGCAAGTTTGGCAAGTGAAGTCCTTGGCGAAGACTGCTTATCTGATTATTTGTATATATCCTGCACCCATCATTTCCCCCCACAATTACTAATTTCATCTGGCACTTATAAAAAAGTACTTGTATAATTTCAAGCCAAAAATCTTCTAACTTGTTTTAGTAACAACTCGTTAACTTCTCCTAAAGACTGACTTAGAAATAAAAAAAAAATTTTATTCTAAATACTCACATGTATTTCATATACTGTCTCCATCTTCATGTCTATTTGAAAGCTCTTCATATATATATATATATATATATATATATATATTAGTTATAGATGAACACACAGTATCTTATTTATTTTTATGTGGTGCTGAGGATCAAACCCAGTGCCTTGCACATGCAAGGCAAGCACTGTACCACTGAGCCCCAGCCCCAGCCCCGAGAGCTCTTCTTTTTAAAGGACTAAATGAATGCAAGTTGCCGGTCTCATTGGCTTTAAATATTTTAAGTTGCACAGCTTCCTTGTTAGCTGATGTGGCTGTTCCAACTTGTACTTACTCCCTTACATCCAACATAGTGCCTGAATCCGGAGTCGTCCCAAGTGCCTGCTCTGTGAAGCCTGCTTCAACAGGAAAACTGTCTGGATGCTTTCTCCGGCATCTAATGCCATTCAACTTTCCTTTTATACACTTAGAGTCACCTTCTTAATGAACATTCCATGTAGATGACTCTTAGAAACTGGAGGCCGGAGAGTACATTTTTGAGAAGGCAAACTAGCAGGCTCTTAGCACTTTTCATTATTTAAAACATGCTTAAATAGGAACACACCAAAAAAAAGTTCACTTCAAGCCAAGTTCTTTTTGGGTAGTTTTTGTCAGTTTTCAGGGACGGTGGTGGTGCTCTCACACCACAAGCAGTGGGAGACGTGGAATAATTAGCCCTCCCACCTCTCTGTGAAACAGCAGCTCCTATGGGCGTTGGCCTTTCATATCCCAGGAGCTGTGAAGCACTGGCCACCTACGTGGATTTTTCTTCCCTGATCCTCCACCCACGATGCAAGCATTTAAAGTTGTGTGTGCACACTGCCAGAATTGAATAGCTCAAAATGAAGTTTGTAGATCTCTTGAAGCTGCAGTTTTTTTCCTTGGTGTCTTTGAAGAAACTGCCCTAAGAAAGTCACCCCAGTCTGTAGGGAAATTGACATCTTAGTGACACATGCAGGGTTATACCTTTGCTAGAGTAATTTGTTTGAAAGAAAGTTGCTCTGATTCTGAATGTGGGTCTTGGCCACTCTGACCACTTGGAGGCACATCCTAGGCATCTCAGCTGGGCTTCCTTTCATACATTGCCTATTTAAAACCAGAGCTACATAGTGTACTAAGTGCTGTGTAGTGATTACTCCCAATCCATTCTTCCCCAGAAGCCTTATTGATTTTCTTCTTCTCTGTGAGAAAATGAAATTTCTCTTTGGAGAAGGTGATAGGAATGATTTCAGTTCTTTTTTCAGTGCCACATATTATTTAAAGGCATTAGTAAGGCTTCTGTGGGCAGCTGTTAACTTTATATTAACAGATTAGAAGAAATTGCCTTTTCCTTCACACGAGGCCATGTACTGGAGTCTAGCCCTCGTTGTTAGTGATTTCTATCTTGATTGTTCCATGGGATAAGGTTTTTATCAAAATCCTACCTACCAAATGCCATGATCACATCTAAAATATATTTGAAACAGGTTTTAAGTTTTCATTTTCAACTTACATTTAGGACAGGTGCAAGTGAAATATATAAAATCAATTGATATTACTTTTCATGAAGTTGTCAGGTACTCCTTAGAAGTAACCGACTTGTTTCCTTTTGCCCACAGTACTTCCATTTGAAACCATTTCTAACATGCAGGAATTGTTTCTTCTTAGTGTTGGGCAACCATTCCAAGGAGCTTACCTGGAAATCAACAAGAACCCTAAGTACAAGAAACTCAAAGATTCCATTGAAGAAAAGATCATCATTGCTGAAGTTGTGAACAAAATTAACCGTGCTAATGGGAAGGTAAAAATGCTAACTTTGAAGATTTGAGAGGCTCCCAAGACAGTTTTCCTAATGTTAAAATTTACATCTCCCCTGGCATGATGGTGCATGCTTGTAATCCCAGCAGCTCTGGAGGCTGAGATAGGCATATCTCGAGTTCAAAGCCATCCTCAGCAACAACCGCTAAGCAATTCAGTGAGACCCTGTCTCTAAAATACAAAATAGGGCTGGGGATATGGTTCAGTGGTTGAGTGCCCCTGAGTACTCAATCCCCAGTACCTCCCCCCCAAAAAAAATTTACATCTCGTATTCTCAGTGTAGTTAACCTGAGGGGATTTCACCTTACCTTTAGGCTTAGGCAAAATTTTTTGCTTACTCTGAAATTTCTATGGATTTAAATACGTTATTTATGTCCTTTGACCTATTCTCAGTTTATATAGATATGCTTCCTGAAAGATGCTGAAATAAAATGTGCATTTCTGCAAACTACTAATGCTTTGAACTTATGGACCATTTGGGGGTGTTTGTGTTCACTGGTTTTACATCCCTTTTGGTTTTGTTTTAGAGTACATCCCGAATTTTCCTCTTAACAAATAATAATCTCCTTCTCGCTGATCAAAAGTCTGGACAAATCAAGTCAGAGGTTCCCCTGGTGGATGTGACCAAGGTATCGATGAGCTCACAAAATGACGGCTTCTTTGCTGTCCACCTCAAGGAGGTAAAAGTTCACCTAATGACTTGACGAGAGTGTTTCTCTGTTTGTCCAATTTCTCAGCCATAAATTTAAAATTTTCCCCATCAGACAGTACTATTGCCTGATGTCCTCCCTACTGATTTACAAATTTTGGCTATGTATGTTAACTCCTGTATAAAATCTCATGTTCGGTTTTTCAATAATTGAATAAGGTTAGTCACTTTTATTGATTTGCTCACTTGATGTTTTAAATTATGTCTCTTCCTGTTCTTTATTCTGCATACCAACTTACATATGTCTTCTTGTTCATTTTTGATTTGTTGTTTTTTTTATCAAAGGACAAAACTGCATTAAAACCATTGCCTAATGATTTTGACCTAAAGGTTTCCTAAGGTTCATACTTTCTGCTTAACCAGGACCTCCTAGCTTGAATGGAATGGTTAAGTGTAGTAGCTAGACTTGTTCTCATTAACTGTGATGCCTGTGGCCATGTCATTTAACTTTCATGAGCCATCCCAATTTTTCTTATCTTTAAAATGGGGATAATAATTTCCCTACTTCATTGCATTACTATGAAGATTAAGTGATACTGTATGTAAAGTGCTTAGCACAGTACCTCTCATGTATAATACCATTACTAAATACACAAATGTCAACAAATGTTAATCATATTTAGGGATATGCATCTAGGTAATATAGTGACACTGACCGACTCCTAACAGAAAAACCCAAAAGCTTACCTTAGCCTGTTTTCCCCACCATGCATTTTAACATAAAGGGGGTGTTTTGAGTCACAGGACAGTGATTATCAACCTCAAGTACACACTAAAGCAGAGTGGTACTCTAAGAAATGCTGACTTTCAGACCATACCCTCAGAATGAAACATAAGCATCATATTTTTGGAAAGTTCCCCCAGATGATTCTCCTGTGCAGCTTAGGTTGAAAGCTGCTACTGTAGGACATTTGTTGCAAGTGTTATTGTTGTTATTTTTTTTTCAACCAAATCACTGAGGAGTTTTTTAAATAGCTTTTTCAGATTGAGTCATAAGCTAGGTCAATGCTCCTTGATCCTTGTGCAGACCCACCACCCAGGGATCTTGCTGTGGACTCTTATTCAGCGGCTGCTGTAGCAGAGCTGAGATCCTGCTTCTCTAACAAGCTCCCACATGATTTGGATGCTCCTGCGTGTCTGTCAACCAGCTTTGGTAGCAAGGGGTCGGATAACCTTACTCAAGTGCCCTGGCCAGTTGGAAGAAGTACAGCTCTTGTCCTTACTGTTTACATTGGGGAAATGGACTCCCGTGTCTGAAGTTTTAAGGAGACTGTAAATAGGTTTTCAGCCAACCCTGTAAACATTTTCCTCCTCAGCTGTCTTTAATTATCTCTGACTCTTGGCTTGTCCTTTCAGGGCTCAGAAGCAGCTAGTAAAGGAGACTTTCTCTTCAGTAGTGACCACCTGATTGAAATGGCCACCAAGCTGTATCGCACAACTCTCAGCCAAACCAAACAGAAGCTCAATATTGAAATTTCTGATGAGTATGTTCATATATTGTTTAATGCACCTTTTTGCTTTTAGTTTTATAATTTTAGTCCAGCTCTTTGATCTCATTCATTAATACAGCAGCTACTTATGTACCCAGTATGTGTCTAGTATTCGTTCTGGTTAAAGGACAGGCAGTGGATGGCACTGTCCAAGTCTCTACCTCAGGTACCTGACATTCTAGTGGGAAAGAAGAAGATACCCAAATAAGATAATAAGTAGGTGGCAGGGTTTGGGTTAGTGATAGGTGCTTGTGGTAGAGGGAAAAAAGCAATTGTCAGAGGATATTCTTCTTAACAAGAAGGTCAGGGAGTCCTCTTTGATTCCGTGACTCCAGTAAGGAAGCAAACCGGGCAGCAATCTCAAGAGAGACTTTACGGTGCAGAGCAGCAATGGGTACAAAGGCCCTGAGATGGGAACAAACTTTGTAGCAGAGCAGACGGTAGAAGACCCTGAAGAGAAAAACATAGCCTACTCATGTAGAGCTTGGTATCTGAGCTAAGTTGAGACTTTACTAAGGATGATGAGAAACCATTATAGGTATTGAGCAAGGGTGTGGCAGGATCTGATTTATTTTCAAAGATGGCTTTGGTTGCATGTAGACAGTAACTACTAGGAGACAGGGATGGAAGCAGGACTCTGAGCTGTCTAGTGCAAGGGTGATGTGGCTTAAGCTAGAGTGAGGTGGTGAGAGGTAGCCAGCTTCTGAGTGTAATTTGAAGGAAAACAAAGTGTATTAACAGATTGGGTGTTAGACGTTAGGCATTTGTTGCAGAAGTAGAAATTGAGGGATGAGGGGTTTAGAAGTGGCCAGGGAGATTCTGAATGGTTAGATTTGAGATGACTTTTTTTTTATATACATTGGTAACTAGAGTTGGAGTAAAGGCCTTCCATGTTAACAAGGGGGTATTAGTGCAAAGACTGGTGCAAATTTGAAACTTGCTTTCTCTTCATTTCACATTTGTGTTCAAATTGTAAAGGCTAATTATTTGTATAGAGGATGGGACATCCCGCCATATATTAAATATACACATGTGAGGTGTTTGAATGAATTTGAGTGACTAAATTGATTAATACTTAACTGATTATGTGTTATTAATAATAACAATTATTAATAATATCAATAATTTACCAACAACTTATATACTTCTTTGCATATGTTAGAAAGATTAGATAACCAGATAACATAGGAAGATTTTTTTTTTTCTTTTCTTTTTTAGTACCAGGGATTGAACTCAGGAGCACTCAACCACTGAACCACATCCCCAGCCCTATTTTGTATCTTATGAGTCAGGGTCTCATTGAGTTACTTAGCATCTCACTTTTGCTGAGTCTGGCTTTGAACTCAACAATCCTCCTGCCTCATCCTCCTGCACCTTTAGATTACAGGCATGCACCACTGTGCCCTGCTGAAGACTTTATTTTATAATTCAAAATTTTTCATGCTGGGGATGTGGCACAGTGTCAGGGTACTTGCCTGAGACTTGTGAGGCCCTGGGTTCAATCCCAACACTTAAAAAAAAAAAAAAATCAAGAGTTTTGCAGTTTTTTAAAAGAAGTTTTTGTTTTGTTTTGTTGTTTTGTTTTGTTTTTGTTTAAAATAAATTTATACCTATCTCCGCCCCTTTGTGAATCACACTCTCAGTGATGTTAGGATTTATGGTATCTTTAGCTCATCCTCAGTTCTCCCTGAACACTAGGGATATTGATGAGGTAGGAGATGGAGCTTTATGGGTACACTACACTGGGAATGGATGTTTGGACTACATAACTTGTTACTTTCTTATAAAAACAAAATAAAGAATATTAGGGGGAAAAAGATAACAGCAGATTAAATTCCATTTTAATTAAAGTTTTAACCTGTCAGGGCATGTTCGAGCTTTTAACTCCCTTTGGTAGAGGTTTTTCATAATTTGGGATTCTGGGCTTGGTAGCTCCTGCCATTTCCTGCTCATCATGAGATCATATTTATTTCAAAGGTTGATCTATTCTCCCTTGGTACATGGATGAAGCAGCCTCCTAGTTGCCCTTGGTATTAATAGGGTTATCTGTACAGAGGCAAGAAATCACAACTAATCCAGACTTCAAAGGATGGTACTTTTAAGCACTTCCTATATTGATATTCTAAGAACTCTACTCTTTAAGAATGTTAAAGAAAATGTGCTATGAAAGAAATGTTCTCTGGTGAAAATGGAAAAGCAGTCTTGCCATATGACTTCTCAGAACCTCTGAAATCTAGGTGCACACTTTGACTCTCTGGAGGGGCTTTGGAAGATGAAATGGACTATGTTTCCCAAATGTAGTCAACCACCCACCGAAGCCCTCTGGTGGATCTCCCAGGCTGTGTTCAGAGGCGCACCATTCCGGAAATGGTGCTGGATGAGTTCACTTCTGGGCATTCAGGACTCTGCCTGTCAGAGAGGTGTATGGTATTCTGATGGTATAGTGTGGCCACGTGAAGACCACAGATACATGACAACATTGTCACTCCTCTCCTCTGGTTCCCAGTGGTTGGGTGTTCTGATAAAAGTAAAGCAGCTGATGGAAGAAGTTTCCAGTGCAGCTCTTTCAAAACCCTGGGAGCTCCTTGGTCAGGGATGCCTGGGTCTGTGTTTTCAGCTGACAGGGACTTGACTCCATTTCCTTGCCAGCTGCAGAGAAGCAGGGTCAAAAACAGCTTGCAGTTCAGTGACTAACCCCTTCCTCATCACATTGTTTTTGGAAGGAGAAGTAGTGATTCTAACAAGCCCAGTTTCTGTAGTCATTAATGGATAAACTGAACATTGGTTTTCAGGAAGGCAGGCAATCTTAGTGCAGTTTTTAACTTGCCCAGGTAGAAATGAGAATTGAATTCATTGAGAGACTCAACCGCCTTATATGGTTCCTAATTCTTTTTTTTTTTTTTTAATTTTTTAAAATTTTTTATTTTGGTTGTAGATGGACACATACCTTTATTTTATGTATTTATTTGTATATGGTGCTGAGGATCGAACCCAGTGCCTCACACATGCTGGGCAAGTGCTCTACCACTAAGCCACAACCCCAGCCCCAGATTCCTAATTCTTAAACTCACAAATGGTTTAGTTGATAAACATTGCATTTTGAGGATAACCTGCAGGTGTCCAGAATTTCTAAAAATGAAGTCCTGAATATAGTGAAAACTACAGTGAATTTGATTTATCAAATATTTTAAATATCTGTATCATTTAATATATTAAATCCAAACAACCAGTCTATGTCATTTTTACTTTGATATTCTGACTGGTATTAATGCTGCAAAATAATGCATTCCATGTAACTGTTTTCTGGAACATGATTTTCAGTTTTGTCCTCTTTGAAATGGAGATGAATAGTAGTCATCGCCTTCTTAGATTGTGTTATAGCTGAGTTAACACAAGTAAGTGGCCAGGAACAGTATGGTACATGGTCCCCAAAGCTTTTGAGCTGTTGATATGTCTAATATGAATCTTGGTCATGAGCTATGAACATGGAGACATTAAATGTATGTTAAAGTCAATAGGAAAAGAAGGTCCTACACTTTGCACATACCACATATGATCGTTGAAAATGAAAATGTAAAATATTTGATTTTACATACATATATATGAATTTTTATTGAATTTTTTTGAACATTTTTTTTCTTTGAGGCACATGAATAAAAGCATACAGACCAGAAACATATCTCAGATAGGCAAACGTGGAACTATAGCTCTTCTTTCAGTCCTTTCAAGTGGAAAAGAAACAACCCATTTAAAAGGCCATCATGCTATCTTTGTAAAACAACTGATGAATTAGAAGCTTTCAAGTTATTTCGCTCCAGAAATGATGTTTGCAAAACACAGCCTCTTTAGACCACAAAACTAAGTTGACATATTCAAATGAAATTGTTCAGGCCCTTGCTGCTACTATGGATGACCATGAGGACTGATCTGCCAAATACCTGTTACTCACTTAGTAATGTGCCAGCAACCCAGAAAAACTGTTCCCTAAGAACAGAGAAAACATTGTTATGGGATATTGATGTGGTAGAGAGAAAAGTCAATGGTTTTGAGATGGGAAGACCTGGTCCAGCTGTGCTACTCTAATGCCTCCCAAGAGATGCAGTCCCTGAGAGCAGGACTCTCATTTTATACAGCTGGCTGTCCCTCACAGTGCTGGGTACAAAGAACAAACTTGTAGACAGTCACTTGTCCCCGGCTGGTCTGAAGAAGGAAGGATTTGAACTAGAATATGTTTTTTTTAATGTATCACATATACCACTGGTGGGGTAAGAGGTAGTTTTAGGTGTACACTAATGGATTTTTAATGTTTTAAAAATTTTAAATTTAAATTTTTTTGTGTGTATATGGTTTTTGTTTGTTTGGTTTGTTTGTTTGCGGGTAGCAGGGATTGAACCCATGGGCACTTAACCACTGAGCCTCATCCCCAGCCCTTTTTATTTTTTGAGACAGGATCTTGCTAAGTTGTTGAGGCTGTATATGAACTTGTGATCCTCCTGCCTCAGCCTCCTGAATTACTGGGATTACAGGCATGTGCCACCATTCCCAGCTTTCATATAAATATTCTAATGATTATTAAATGACAGATCAAACTCATGACTTTATCATTCTATAGTCACTATTACTTTGAAATAGTTTTAGCTATAAATAAATATTAACATAGTATACATGTGCAAATATGACAAAAATTGTGCAGGAAATATATGCACACCCAGTGTTTGGAGAATATCTCAAGGCTCCTTCCTGTTCTGAAATTCTCAGTTTCATTTCTCAGTTTGTTGATAATTCAATCAGACCCCTCCCCAGTTTATGTTTTTGCCAGAAGCAAGACGGAAATAGGACATGTTGGTCTTTCCTTTTGAAACATGGAAATAATTATTCTCAGCTCTTCTTGCCTTGTTGGAATATGTTAGTTAATGAGCTCCAGCTTACTTAGGGCTGAATGGCTACTGGAAGTAAAAGACAGTAATACAATTCTGTGTTAAGAGGTGTTTAATAAGAAGAGGTCATACTTGTCAAGATCAATATCCCATTAAAAAACAAAATCTAATGTTACTCTAATCACCATCTGTTTTGAATATACCTTAATTTGTTTAATTCTTTTCTCCTAGGTTCCTGGTACAGTTCAGGCAGGACAAAGTATGTGTGAAGTTCATTCAGGGCAGCCAGAAAAATGGAAGTGTCCCAACATGCAAACGAAAAAACAACCGTCTCCTTGAAGTTGCTGTCCCCTAACTGCCGCCTCCTCTCTCCGCTTTCGTGGACTCCTTGTAATAGTGCAATTTTGTTTTTTGTTTTGTTTTGTTTGGGTTCATTGTATGTTTGGGAACTGCCAAAGGCTAACCGTTAGAGTCCCTTGGCAAAATAAAAGTATTTGACTAATCAATTTTTATTATTGGAATAGTTTAACCCTTCACTACATATTCTGTCCTGGGGCAGGATTGTAGAAACTAACAGTGTCTGTTTCTAATGTCATATGTGTTTTCTCTTTAGTTACCATGTTAGATTTGTGTACCCCTAAATCAGCGTATTATTCATAAATCATTAACCCGTGTAAGTGTAGGAAACGGTCTTAAAAGATAGTACATTCATTTATCAAATATTTATTGAATGCCCACTCTATGCTGGGCACTGTGCTAAATGGTATAGAAACTTATTAGGAGTCTTTTTACTTTTAAGGCTATTGCATTCTGGCTGGTTTGTGCTGGTTTAACAACAGCTGAGAAGGTTTCACAAGACTGGGACCAAAATAATAACTGCTAATGATGGACAGCATTAGTAGGATCCCTGTAACAGGATCACAAACAATACACACTTCAAAAAGGGCTGGTCCTAGAAGAAATATAAATATGCCTGGGTAAAATCCCTCTCCATCTTTTTCTATTTGAAAAGAAGAAAACTGACATTTGAACAGGACATTTTATTTGTTTGGATCTCCTGTAATTACTTTTAACAGTAGAAAACAGAAGCCTTATTTTAGAAAAAGTGACAGAAGGAGTCTGGTAAGACTGTTTCTGTTTCTGGTGAACATCATATAGGATCCTAGTATGTTAATATCTGCAGTGTTGTTTTCACTGGAATTTGAATAGCTATTTTCCCAGCTAACACATGAAGTTAGGCTGAAAGCCTCTTACAGAGTGGCAGACGTTCAGTATGATGTGCAATAAACATCCGAGATCTTTTTTGAAAGTTTTATTTATAGTATACATTTTTGTATGAAAGAGGTGGTTGGCACAGGGTGCATATTCTAGTCAAGGATCAAAAGTAAGTTGGTGTTAAATTGCAGGGCTTTTTTTTTTTTTTTCTCTCCTTTCAAATTTACAATAAGGATTCATTTTGGAAACTACGTTTTTAAACTTTGAAACCAAATTGCTTCTTATTTGGGAGGATAATGTACATATATCTTGGTATCATGTTAAATAATAAAATTGTTCTAATTTGGTGCCACTTGCTGGATCACAACTGTATTTTTGTATTTCAAACTATTTTCGTATGTTGTGTGTCAAATGTATTGTCTCATAGAATGGCTTTACAATCCAAACATTATGTGTTCTCTGTGCTAATTGAATTTCACTAATCTTTTATAAACCAGAAACAGTCATCGAAAATATTTTCTAAGGATTTTCTTTTGATTTTTGTACTTCAAAAAAAAATTGCTCACGTAAAGAAATTCTCAGGAGTCTTTGTGTTTATTGGTGCAGGTAGAGGATAATTGTTTTTACTTTTCCACTATGGACCTAAAGTGGTAGATTGATCATTCCTGTAATAGATGAATAGAAACCTGGGACCGAGAGTAGTTTTAATTTTTTTTTTTTTTAAATAGGGAACATGTTTACATTGTTCAACATACCAGTTAGTGCAAAAAGATGTAAAATACAAATTCTCCATCCAATCAGTCACCCATCTGCTCAGTTCCTGTCCCACCCGGCAAAAAGTTAAACTTGTTTTCAGTTGCTTTTACAACTTTTTGCAAATGCTTGCAAAGAAATAAGACTATAGACTTATCTTCCCCTGTGTTGGCAGACAAAAGCTGTTATGTGTTGCCTTGCTTTTCTCTCCCAGTGGAGGATCATGTAGAGATCCTCGCTCTGGTTACCAAGGCAGTCCTCCCTGGTATAGATGTGTTGTAACTATTCACAGGTCTCTAGTCATCATCATTGGTAGCTTCCTGAATGGAGATTCAGGCTGAAAGTCCCTAATGAAAGTCAGCATGGAAAAGACTAATGTTCTGTGGGTCTATGTGTTAAATTTTCCCAGATATCTTATTTGCAGATTATTCACTGTGAGTTAGCCACAATAGCAGTTACCAACCACATATTTTCCAAAGTATTTTTTTCAATGGAGAAATCATTTAATCTTAACTGCATTGTTATGCAAGGATTTAAAAAAATGTCCACAAAGAGATTTTAAGTGAGAATTTTATTTTAATAACTTTTTGTCACTTATAGTTTTTGTCACTGAAATATCCAATAATTTGGGAGCATGGAGCTTATTCTACATGAGCTATTGCCTTTACTTGGTGGGAAAAGTTGGCTGAAGTTCATCTAGAAGGCTTTCTGTATACCAGGCTACAAATGTGCCTTCCTATAGTTGTTAATACTTGGAATACATATAGTGAGGACCTCTTTACTTTTCCATGGAGCAAGTGATTAAGGAAAATGTAATTGCTGAGAGCAATTATTTAGAGATTTTCAGTTTAGAAGTAAGATATGAAACCTTGTTTCTGAATCCTAAAGTTAAAGTTGACTGTACCACTTGTCCTTTTGGAATCCCTCACATTCCCCATAAAGGAGAGCAGTTGTAACTTGACCACTCTAGAACTGCGGGGAGAGCAACCATGGCTGACCCCATAGAGTAGTGTTTCAATGAGTGTCAGCCTGGATCAAAACCATAGGGAAAGCCTGTTTTAAGAAAGAATATTTAAAAAGCAAATATCCGAGGCTGGTTCCTGGGCCATGTCCTATACCAGTGAATCAGAAACTCCAGAATAGAGTCTGAAAATAGGCATTTTAAAGAAGATCACCAGGACTGGAGTATATAGTTCAGTGTAGAAGACCTGTCCCATGTGTGAGGCCCTGGGTTCATTCACCAGCACTGCCAACAAAGAGGGCTGAGGGATCTCCAGATGATGCACACATTAAAGTTTGAGAACCAGTAGGAAAAACAGAGTTACTTTTTTAGCTACACACAGAAGTCTAGTCTACACTAATCTTAAAAGTCCTATGGTGATTCTGATTCTGCCCAAGTGTAAGAACCACTGTCCTAGAGCTTCTTTTTAGCTGCCTGTGGCGTTGTTGGCTTCATTTGCTGATACTGTTCACCCTAACCCCATGCCCAATTAGTGGTTACTGATCTCAGTCTATATCAGTAGACAAGTGACTAATAACCCTTTATCCATGAATTTCTCTCAGTGTCATGCTATAGAGTTAAGGTACTGATGACACTCCAGAACTCTTGTGTATCTTGGTCTGGTCATACCGCCTGTCTTGTTCCAGGAATGGCTTAGGTTATGCAGCCCTGGGAGAGACCTCTTAGAGTAACTGGAGTTATAAGACCTGGTTACCCAGGAAGTAGACTCCTGAATTAGTCTGGGAGTGACTAGGAATTACCCAGATCCAGAACCCTTGGAATGACTTAAGAGTTGATGTGCTGGGGAAAAAAACATAAGTAGATGATACTCATTAGTTGCCTGGTAGTTGCCAGGGAGTACAGCGTGTAGTGAGTTGCCCTTGACTTTGATTCCCAGTAACCATGCTACAAGGGAGGAATGTAGGAATAGTTCCTCTCTCACATACTGGTTAGTTTCGTATTTCACAATCTTGGAATAATAACTTGGACCCAGAACTCAGATGTTGAGACTTCAGCTCAAGTTTTGAATACCTTTGCTCACCGCCCCCAGAGATAATGGAGTGTCTCTAAAGGCAAAAGGCCAGGCCAAGAGTTCCGAGAATCACAGGCATATCCTCGGTATTAAGGGTTTGGCTGAAGTCTAAGAAAACGAACTGTTTTATTATCGTCTCATCTCAATTAATATGCTGAGAACTTGAGTTCATGTAATTGAGCATTATTATGATAATCAGAGCCTGATTTAAAATTCTTTTAGGCCAAATATAAAAGACAAGCACTTTTGTTTCATATCTATTAGTTTTCATACAATAGGTTGATACTTTCTAGGCTTGATGAAATCTTCAAATAGAAGTACTCTCTTTAAAAAGATGTGTGTTGCTGGGGGGGGGGGGAGGATTTAGTAGATTCCATCATGTGCCTCTTCTGTTCTCCCATTAAGTTTTGACCAGTACGCATCAGGTTAAGAGTCTTCGTTTTTAAGCTGGGCATTGTTTCTCCATGAACACTGCTGCACTCATTCCCTAAAGCAATTTGTCACAGAACTGAGAGGGAAGAGAAGGAAGGGCAGTAGTCTTTGTTCCTCTTTGCTCCTGTGAGAAAAATAACTTTAAGTTTCCTTCATCGTTTGGAGATGTTCTGTTGGTCTCTTGGCCATCGTTAGAGGAGCTCTCTTTGCCTCTCGTTTTGATAATTCTGTCACGCTCTCTGATTCTCAGGTTCTCACCAGCAAAACCCTAGGAAGCTTAGCCTTTCGTGAGCTGGCCCTTGCTGCAGGTCTCTTCAGCTCCGTGTCAATAGCCACACAGGAGAAAATTGCTTTTGAAACTGGTTCCTCCAAATCTTGGAAAGTTTGCCTCATTCTCTTTGGTTTGAAGATCATTTTCAAAATCTGGAGTTAATCACAGTTCAGCAAAGCCACAATCTTCCTCATTAATTTTTCCCCTGGCATGGTGGCCAGATCCCCTCCGCCCAGTTCCATAAAATTCAACAAAAGTCTAACTTTATAACCAAGGAAAACAGTTTCAGCTTCTAAGTGTTTTAAGGAGGGAATAGGGAACAGAATCTAATTCCATGTCCACCCTATACCCTAGCAGTACTGAGGGAACAAGGATCCACTATTTACCTCAGCGTTTCAGTCATTTTCTACTCAATTTTTATTTTTTTCTTATTCACCAGTTAACAAATCTGTCACTTTCTCTTTAAAATGTATTTTTTTAAAAAATAGCTGTCCCAGAACAGCATTTTATTTGTTTATTTGTGTTGTATGTGTGTGTGTGTGTGTGTGTGTTGCTGAGAATTGAACCCAAGGCCTTGTGCATGCAAGACAAGCACTCTACAACTGAGCTATATCCCTAACCTTAAAATATACTTTTAAATGATGTAGACTTCAGAAATGTGCACGTAAAAGTGAACTCGTCCACATAACTATTACCACCCAGAACACTCATTCCCAACACAACACTCAGAAATCCTTTTCTCTGTCTCAGTCATAATCTCCCACAAAGATTACTTAAAAAGTTATATACAACTTTAAAAGGAGTCATACATGTAGTCTCCTGCCTGGCTTCTGTCAGTCAACATAAGTGTGAGATTCATCCATTTGATGCACGTAGCTATGTTTGTGTGTGTGTGTGTGTGTGTGTGTGTGTGTGTGTGTGTTTTATTCTCCTGGCTGCATAGTAACTCATCATGTGGATAGACCAAAATTTTGTGATCCATTTTGATTGTTGATGGCCATTTGGCTGTTGTACATCGAGCTGCAGCAAACATTCTTGTACACATCAGCTGGTGACTACGTACGCACATTTCGGCTCAATGTATCCCTAATAGTAGAAGTGTGGATGGTGGGATAAATGTATGCTCAGCTCTAGTCAATTCCATCTACCTGACTTCCAAAGCAGCTACCAGTTTATATGCCACTGGCAATTGCTCTACATAATTGACAGACCTGGTATTGTCAGTCTTTTCAATTTGGGTCCTTTTGGTAGGTCTTAGCTTTAATCTGCATTTTGCTGCTGATGAATGAACTTGATCATCTTTCAATATCAGCCATTTGGATATCATCTTTTATAAAGTGCCTGTTCTAGTATTTTACCAATTTTTCTGTTATCTCCTTTCTTTTTGATCTGCAGTTCTGTGTTTTATGTGTATGGTGTCTGTCTTCTCACAGTCTTTGGTTATCTTTTGATTTATTACCAGTGTCTTGATAAACAGAAATTCTATTTTAGTGTAGTCCAGTTTATCAGTTATTTCTTTTATGTTTACTGTGTTTTGTTTCCTCTTTAAGAAATATTTGTTCTCCCAAGCTTATGAAGATAATTGCCTGTATTTACTTACTGAAGTCTTACTGTTTTAGTTTTCACATTTAGATCCTCAGTCCAACTGGAATTGATTTTTTTTTCTTTTTTCTTTTTTTTCTTTTTTTATTGGTATAGAAAGACAAGATTTGTTTCTTTTCCTTCATGTGGATATCCAGTGGATCTCACACCTGGTAGTGAAAGGCCAGCCTTGCCTCTCTGCAGTGTTTCTAGATTCTCTCTTCTATTACTTTGACCTTTGTGTCAACACCAAACTGCATTAATTATTATTGCTTTGCAGTATGTTGGCACAGCACTTTTAAAAATGAAATTCATTTAGCCATCCTATAGCTATTGTGATAGGAAGCATTAAAACTAATAAGTATACTAATTACATAAAACTAAATATTGTGTCAGTTATGTGTATGGGGAGTAGCAATAGGTTCATCAGAGTTCTAAAAATGTG